AGGAAAAGCAATCAGACTTGGGCGCTGTCGTGCGCGCTTAAAAAACGTAGCCATAACATCTTGTGCCTCATTGTTGAGTGCGCAATCTCCAACGGAAGGCCCTAAGGAAACCAGCGAATCGTGAAGTCTCACAATAATTGCCAGTGCATTTATACCATAACTGTAAAGCTATTATCAGGCTGAACGGAAATTTTCATTTTTTTCAGGCTCGGAGCTTTGATTTTTGCTGATTTTTTTCAATGATTATGAAGTATTTTAAAAGCGCGCCATCCGTTGTACATTTTGGTGTACAACACTTGTGCATTTGCTTCACTTTGGAGCTACACGAGGAGAGAAAGTATTGCTCATGCTACTTGAGCACGTATTGAACTTGATTAAAGGCATGCCCCAGGATCACATTGGTGTGGCTCTTGCACACGAATGCGAATGTATTGGTGCGAAATGGGCCGGCAGTAAAGAAAAAAGGAAAAGAATCCGTCGAAAACGCTTAGGTTAAGGGCTCACTCACCTTCCTAATCGGCTGTGCTAAGGGAATGAGAGACTAAGCGCGGAGAGGAGAGTATGAGGCGAGAGAGCGCTACAGATGAGAGAGCGCCAGACAACAGCCTGATAAGAGAAAAAGTCTGCAGCTTAGCAGCTTACTTTGCAAGGCCCAAGCGCTCTTGTCGGTTGGTTTCCGTGCACGAACGCCACATTTGTGATTGTCCTCTAGGGGTCTATACTACAGACCGAAGGGAAGCGTTCACACGACCTCTGCCTGGGTTGTGCCTTTGAAACCGAATGCTGCTGCATCTACTCGTGGAATCAACAAAGCCTTAGGTGAAGGCGCGGTTGCAGAAACGAATTTATGGACTGTTTTGTTAATTAGTCATTTGTTGTATTAGGTTGTCTCATAAATAGTGTCGCTTTTTTTCAACCAAAAAATTTTCATCTAAATCCCCATGCTTTTACATCGAGTCATATACCATTCGAAAGAGAATTGTCTGCTCTACAAGATGCTATGTTTTCTTCCACCTCTGTTCCAGGGTTTTCAAATTTTAGGCCTGCGAAATGGGAGGTCCAGCCGACAAAAATTGACCAAACCGACAACTAGCTCTAACTTTATTTTCCCTGGGAGAAATCAATCAATGATGTACCCTCTACTTACTCATGACCTCTTCTGAACATTCCACCCTTAGGTTGCCGAAAAAGGTTTGCCCTGTTTCTTTTCGAATTGGCCGACCGATAAGCCATGGCAATTTTCAAATTGAAATTCTTCCTCTGAAACGCTATTGTTTTATATCAACTGGTGTATCTTTTGTGAGCACTTCTTCTGCTCTATTCGCTCATTTGTTTTGTTTTAACACATTGACGACAACGCGGGGGATATATATCCCGCGCATTGCAGGCCATGTCGGACCGTGCGGGATATATATCCCCCGCACCCATTACACTCATTTTTTTCGCGCACGCCTGATTCTTTTAGAAGTTTCTTGTATTTATTCCATGGAAGAGACCTTGACGTAGCTACAAACATAGTGGCCCATAGAATGGTCACGTATGCTTCAATTTAGAGGAGGATTTCTGAACCATACGAAATCTTCAGTTTAATAAATTTTTCGTTTACTTTTCTTTTCAATAATGTGAAGATTTAAATAGTAGTAGAAGTAGATAGTAAACCTTAGGAATGACAATATGTGTGTTTTGATTGGAATAATCAACGTAAAATTGCTTTTGAGGTCCATGGCAGCTAGTTCTGGAAAATTTCGCTTTTTCATTGTCATTTCATGTCTTTCGATCGGAATTCCACTAAGGTACCCCTGGTTAGGTTGCGCTCATTACAATTTACTGATTTGGTTTTGAATTGATCATTAGTTGTGTATTTATCACTCAAAATCTGCTTGAAACCTGAGGCGCGAGCGCGCCCGCAAAATCGCCGCGGTCCCACGTGGCCAAAAAAGCCAAAACTCGCATTGTCGTCAATGTGTTAATGTGCGTTAGGAATTAGCTCGTATTTCAGGTGTTTAGGAGTAAGGTGCTTTATCCACGAAAGTGACCGCATTTCTTTGAAAAAAATTATTCCTGAGAAGATGAGAAAATCAACCAGGCGTACATTTCCTAACATAGTCATGACTTGTTCTTTAAATTCTACAGTTTTTCAATGTCTCGGCTATAAAAAAATTTCGACCTCGATCTCAGGTAATGGTGCTTGACCGTCGAGTTCTGGTTGAAAAACCAGGTCTGGAAATGGAATGACGCGACTTGTTGGGAAACCTAATAGTGTAATGTTTAGAAGAGGTCATGCATAAGTAGAGGGTACATCATTGATTGATTTCTCCGAAGGGAACATAAAGTTAGAGCTAGTTGTCGGTTTGGTCAATTTTTGTCGGCGGGACCTCCCATTTCGCAGGCTTAAAATTTGAAAACCATGGAACATAGATGGAAGAAGAAACGATATTTTGTAGAGCAGACAATTCTCTTTCGAATGGTATATGACTCGATGTAAAAGCATGAGGATTTGGATGAAAATTTTCTGGTTGAAAAAAAGCGACACTTCGTATAATGAGATACAACCTAATAGTTTTTGTTTGGTTTTATTACTAAACTTATGTGTGAAGTGAAAACGGCTGGTGATTCCCGCTCAACCTAATATTATACTTGGCCTTGGTAGAAGGTCTTCACCGAGCTCTCCCACAATGTTCTTAAGCGAAGAGGAAATGCGAGGCGCATCTCACAGAAGGTTTCATCATCTCAACACTTATTACCTGTTACGAGGAGAAGATGCGTCCTGCTGGTAAAGGACTAAACACGCAGTGTCTAGAGCAAACCGTTAATCCATGTGTAGGAGAATAAATCCTCCACGCGAAAAAAATAACAAAGATATGAACCTCAATCCACGCCCACCTATGAGAGGAATACTTCTTCTGGGAATGCGCAGTGCCCTTAAAAAACATATAGAAGCGTCAGCAACTGCATCATCCCACTGCTTGGTGGCTTTAAAACGAGTTGGGACAATAGGTAGCTATGGCGGGACGTTGCGGGCCCGATTCCGTTTGTGGACTTGGACAGATTGATGAAACTTTTGTATGCCTTAGCTGAACCCTCAAGCAACGAGGGTCCTTCGTTCCACTCCTTTAACCTTTGTGTGATCGGATCGATGAACATTTTTGCTCATTCCGTGGCTGCTGAAACCTCTGTGCTGTCTAAGCTCTAGCACTTGCTCAGGCATACTTCATCCCAAGATTTCATACACTGGTCTGCAAAACTTAAGGAACGAATTAGACGAAGTAACATAACTCATTAGCAATTCCATGGGTCTTAAAATGACTACTGCTTTTTTCGTTCTGTAATGGACTGTAGAGGGCGAAACCACGCGAGCGGTCCGGGGATCAAATCCTGGGTCGTGAGTCGCCCGGGCCAACCAAGCCTTCCATCCCTCCGGGGTCGGTTAATTGGTACCAGACTTGTCTGGGAGGATAAAAACACTGACTTGTACATCGGCTGGCATAGGCCACATCGCATTCAAACGCCACTACGAATGTACAAATGGAAGTAGAATGCGTGCCGCATCCCAAAAAGGGATTGATCAACGGCAAATGCTTTATCCTTTATATTATAGTAGTTCTTTTTATGAACGGTAATCTGTTTTACTCGGCAGTAACACATCACGAGAAGGCTACGTTTTGCACACCACTGCAATTTACGGTACCTGAAGTATAAACTGCTGCACCAAACCGAAAGGGTGGATAAGAAACGAACGATGACTTCCATTTTAGTACTGCAACAAACCGTTGTTTTGAGCGGTCGCCGAAAGTGTTAATGGCTATTCCAGCTTTCGCAAGTCGTAGTACATCGAACGAATCGTTACTGCTTGACGTTCTTGGACGGTCATCACATTGTGTGTGCAACGGGACGCGCTCATCTGAAGCCATCTCCATTACCGTAATAGCAAATTCAATGCTTTCTAGATCACCATGAAGTACACACGTTACTCCTTCCTTTTGCCCATGGTATTAGCACTTCAGTATATACAGAGAACAAGAATAAATATCGCATTGAACCCACCTATGGAGGTACTTGGTCGCCCTGCAAGCTCCCGAAGTCTTTCCACGCTGCTTCGCTCCACTGAGACGTACTTAATTGGTGTGGGAGGGATGGTCTACGAACATCTGGTCCTTTCTCTAGCTCACTGTACTTGATGTGGTTGGACGAGCTGACACTCTTGCTTGAAGGACCAGCACTGTCGAAGGTCGTTTCGATGTCGCAATAGCCTTTTTTAGGCGTTAATGAAACTCCAAACTCTCTTATGGATAGGGGCGGCTTGTCGACTCGACTAGGAGTGGTCGGTTTTGTCGCTGGAGTGGAAGGCTGAAATATACTTTTTTTGTTCAGGCTAATATCTGCCACATAAAATACTGCAGAGAAGATGTCTTATTGTAGCATATAATATTCAATAAGTAATTCCAAAGTTGTTGGAAGAAGTGAAGAAGCAGCAGATCACAATATTTATATGAAAACAACACTTACAGTCAGTTCCATCTCATTTTTCTTGCTGGAAATCGGCGGAAAAGCTCGGTCGTTCGCTTTTCTTCGACAGTGCGGTTGGATGAGGTCGTCGGATCAGTCTGAGTACCCCCTTCTTTGTGTACGTCCACTAAAGAGGAGCCTCTCACCACATCGTCGATTACGGTGGTTTTTTGATGAGAAGTCGGAATGGACTGCGATGATCCAGGTAGCGGTTGTGTAGGTAGCAGAGCTGGAACTTATGTGACTTTATCAGAGCGCGAGAAGGAATGGAAAATCAACAGCTCGATTATTCTCACCTTTTTTGTCTTGATCAATGTTCAGAGCCTGGTTGGATCGCATTCGAACGCTGTTCGGCTCCAGGTAGTTTTCTTGGCCGATTTGTTCATAAACCGGATCATACTGATGGCCTCGGAGAGAGGATGAAGGCCTGAAGGAGCAGGGTTTTTATGAAACTTGTTCCCAATATTCTATTTTGTTTTCGGGAGTCAAAGAGTTTTATACATTTCGGATGTGACTGCTATTTCTATTGCAGTAGTGGTAAAACTCTGGGATCCGAAGGCAATATTATCTCACTTCTCGCAAAAAAATATTGTATGAAATTAATTTTCTGGTGAAACTCCAGCTCAGGGAGGGGTCCATTGCTATCTTACCCACAGTACTGGAGAGCGCTTCTTTGGGCTATCCAACACTATGAATAAGATAGCAAGTAAACGACTCATTTCAAGCGTACTTCTGATAAGGACTGGTGTATGTCCTCCACTGCACACACCTGCCTGCATCCTATCCACTTTTCTGCCCACGCCATCTACCCTAGAATAGGGTGAATAACGGTTGAGGAAGTTTCTCGATCGTCGCCCTTTTGCAGTGCGAGAGTAGAGCCGATAGTGAATGTACGCGCGGAGAGCACAGACGGCTCGCAGGTGGCGAGAGTGAATATCGCGCGCGCGAGAATCGTAAAGGATCATGGGAAAATCCTCGACATGCCGTTGAGGAATCCTCAAGCAATATTCACCCTACCCTTAAGCTCCTCCACCCCTAGGCTCAAGCAGACATGTCCATTCTCCTGTCCGTTTTCTTGGACCAGGACAGGCGGAAAGCATTTCAGGGTTTCTTCCACTTTACACCGATATCCACTTGTCAGAAAAACTTGGGTCTACTAGGTGTTATGAGCGCCATCATCCTTATTTTTGAGTATTGGAGAGCGATGGAGTGCCCCCTCCCCGAATTGGAGTTTCACCTAATTTTCTAACCGCTGCTGGATCTGGTAACAAAATTATGTGTTAAGGTGTATTCTGCGGTATGCCTATTGAGAACAGAGTCGATCGTAGTTTCCAAATGGGGGTAAGAGAAGGGGTAAATCAGAAAATATTGACCAATTCGCTTAACTCTATCAGATTGGTCACCCTTGCCAAATCATCGACCACCCCATTAAATAAGATCTACTGTAATCTTTTCTTTCAAATTTTCTAGAAAATACTCACCTGCCACCAAACAGGCTTGACACGCCTGCTGAAGCATCGCAAGGCAGGCACTCGTAGGTCACATCGCTGTCATCAATGTTCACACTCTTCCTGGACTGCTGTGGTGTCTTCAACGCAGACTTCAGTTTTGGAAGGGCAGGAAGCGCCGATGGCTGGTGGTCCGCGTAGGAGGCATGACGCCTGGAGTGGGTCTCCGCGCTTGATTCCACTCCAAAGTGTTCACCGATCCTGGAAATGACAATCTTCAATCGGCAAGCAATAGTCCGCTGTTTCATTCTGTGGTGGCAGCCGCTCAAAAAACGCAGCGAACCCAATTGCAAAACTTGCCCTGTTTGTGTGGTGTCGGTAATGTTGCTTGCTGAGGAGAACAACTCGCGACTGGACCTGTCTGCCAACTTTCTTTGAGCGGCTTTGCGCTGCTTCTTCGAGAAGTTCGGCATAGACGCCGTGCGTTTGAACGAACTCTGCGAATGCATCAGAATGATCGCGTAAACCCAAGAAGTTCTTTTGAGAGTAACTCACTCCTTCGCTTTGCTGTTGCCGTTCTCTGGCGTTTCTCATGTAATCACGTTCCCACTGACGTAGAGATTGAGAATCGACGCGGTATATTGCCTAAATGTGATGAAATGTACGAATCGGAAGGAAGACCGGGAGGAATTCACTTATTCAGTTGCATGCTCAACTTACAAAGACTTACAGAGAATGATCTTTTGAAAGGCTGTGATGAGGAAGGTCCCGATAGTAACTGCCTCTCGTCACCACCTTCAACGACCTGAAACTTTCGGAATGTAAACGACAAGTATTAAGGATGGCTTGTTCAGTGTAATTCACTCTCAGATTGATTGACTTGTTCGTAATAAAAACAAACAACAGAAATCACTCAAGAGATTTCGTGAAAACCGTTTGGACCGTCTTCAGCCGTAGCCTGGTTTGGTCATTTCTCAGAGAGCGGTTTATCCAGGATCAACCGTTCGTTGTGCCAATATCAATGAAGGAGACCGCATTTAGCGATGACAAGGGGGAGGGTCGTAAGCCCAAAAGCCATTCACGGAATTCGAAGGTCTCAAGGCATAGAAATGTGGCAAAGGAGTGCAGTATTCTAAATACCACTGCGATTACTAATTACAGACAGTACAAGGCGTTCTGCAGGCGTTTCTTCAAAAGACCTTATATGTGCTGCTGTTGCAGAAACAAAAACTAAGTGTTGAAAGCAGAGTCATTGGAGAAAACCTTGTTGAAAGACCTCACCTCAATTTTAACCAATTTCGCTCTGGATTTACTGAAGGAGACAGAGGTGACGCAACAGCCTAACATTGATGCAAGCCAGTGAATGACGGTGGTGAAAATTTGGCAGTAAAAAGCCCACCCAAGAATTTGCTGGAAGACAAAAGATTTTAGACGAGAAATTCAAAAGGCTCAACATTAGGCATTATGGAAGCATGCAAAACCTCTCACCTCATAGGTGGTGTCCCCGTCTTCTTTGATAACTTTGTTGTCCTGATAGTTTGCCCATGCATAAAAAACAGTCACTCCAATACTAGATAATATGGCTGAAATGTGAAAACATGTAAGTATGTAGAAGTATGATAAGTGATAAGTATGTAGAAAGTTCATTGAAAGCGCATCTTGAAGAATATTTGAAGTAAATAGAACTAACCAGCAATAGTGACGACTACTGTAGAGGCACAAATAAAAGTTCGATGACAGAAGGCAAGCACAGCGAACAGCAAGGCCGATGCGGAGAACACAACTGCAGATCCACATCCAGCCAAAGCTGCGATTTTCCATCCTGGAAAGCAACGGATTATAGTTGAATACCGGACCATGTCCGCTGTCTTCAATGGTGAGCACTAGCCTTGTTGAGCTCCACATTAATCATCCTGATCAAAAATATTAATCACATGGGCTTTACGCTAGTATTTCGGCCCGACCTCAACTGTTTTGTGATTTCAAGCCGTGAACAATATAAGGCTGCGCCGATCTATTACGATATTGCGATCCATCTACTTTACAAAACCTTTCCGAGTCGGTTGACTAGGCTTTTTGTGTCCCATTTATCTTAAACGCCGCTTTATTCCTTTGATGACGGTGCGGATTTGCACGTACATATAGCTTGTTCATGGGACCACGCCTCTTTTCGGCGCGTCTAAAGCTCGCTTACAATTGTGCAAAACTGTCCCAACCAGTATACCAGATATAACTGCAGTTCTAGGCTTTCATACTGTAATTGTTTTCAAGAGAATTCCAAATTTGGAAGGGGAACTCGGGTTTTAAAGGGAAGGAGGGCAAAACCTCTAAAAGTTTAGGTGTTCAAGAGAATTTTCGATAACTTCAAACCCCTTCCCATATATGAGAGTTATGAGAAAACGAAGAAATCCTGATCAGTA